TATTAAAGAGGGCACGTACTGCATGGAGCACTGGGTGTTATGCACAAACAATGAATCATGGAACACTACATCAAAAACTAATGATTTAATGTATCGTGATTAACATAAAAAAAAAGTTCCGATTTTTAAAAATTCTGTAACTATGTACTTTGATAATGTTAACTAGACTTGTTGTGGAGATCATTTTGCAATATATGAATACCAAATTATTACATCGTACACCTGAAACTAATATAATGTAGGTCAATTATACTTCAATAAGAAAATAAAAATAAAATAAAATAAAATAAATTTTAAAAAGAAATTAGGTCACATGAAGAATGCTTGAGATTATTGACTATTTACCCTGGGGGGAAAGACTTTGCTATTTTTTTCTTTTTCTTTTTTAATTGAAGTATCATTGACATACAATGTCACATTAGTTTCAGGTGTACAACATAGTTGATTCGATAAGTCTATATGTTATGCTATGCTCACCACAAGTGTAAGGATTTAGCTATTTTCAAATCCTGGAAGGAATGCTAGAGAAGACATAAGCTCAAAATATTTCTAGTGACAAGGAGCAGACTGCTCTACAGAACAACCAGTTCCATCGTGGAAACTAAGGAAGAAAATGAAATGTTCAAGAGTTTTCAAAATCTGTGCTCAAGACAGCATGTTCCGCCCATCAATTGGCAAGCACGATAAATATGATGTGTGTGCTGTCAGAGTATAGTGAGATCCACCCTCTTGGATATATTGGTGGTGAGAATGTAAATTGATGGAACCTTTGGAAAAAGTAATTCAGATATATGTTTTGAGAACCTTAGGTATAGTCATCATTTAATCTTATAATTACCCATCTAGGAATCTATTTTAAGAAAATAAACAAAGAGAAAGTTTGGCATAGAGAAGCACTCATCAGAATATAGTTTCTAATAGTGAAAAACTAAAAGCACTCTAAATGGCCCACAATGAGGAAAAAGTAGAATAAATTGTAAAGACAGAGTGTTGCAGTGATAAGGAGCCAGACTGTATAGTCAGACTTACTGGATTAAAATTCCTATCCTGCCATTTACTGGCTGTGTCGGTAGGTGGGCGACTGAGGCTAGATAATTCTTAACAACTCAACTAAAGATGGGATGACATATCGTTTACAGAGCCATTATGAAAATCACATATAATGCTGAATGGAAATTGTTTAGGCAGTAGTTGGCACACAGTAAGCACAGAGAAGCAGTCACTATGATCATCACTATATGGTAATTATGCCATTTATTAAATGTTTAGTGTATACTAGGCATTTAACAAACATTATTTTTTCAAGTCCTCACGTTAACTCTTAGACTCATGTGTCATTAATATTGCACAGATGAGGAAATTGAGGAATAGACTGGCAAAATAGCTTTCCCAAATTCATATACATGGTAGAGCGGAGTGTAGGCATTGCAACCCAGACCGTTACTCAGGAACCCATGCTCTAATCAATGAAATGATTACCTCCCATACAATGAAATATTCTGTGTGTCTCTTTGTGTGTGTGTGTGTCTCTCTCTTTCTCTCTCTCTCTCTCACACACACACACACACACGTAATTGAGATAGGGAAACTGAAGGACTCCATAAAAATTGGCTTTTTGCTCTTTTTTGCTCCTTTGCTCCTCTCTTCTCGCTAGGACCTGTGCCCCCACCCCACTTTGCACACACCTCAGAATGCAAACAGTGTATGTCCTCCTTGGAAGGGACAAAGAGTTAATGATTTCTTTAGAATAGATAACATTTAAGGAAGGACCAGGTGAGAATGACCAGACAAAGCTATCGTATGTGTATTCCAGATCACCAGCCTAGACATCTTGATGCCAAGGCCCCCTGGCTCCAAGGAAAAATACCTGGGCCCTCGTGTTTGTTCTAACCAGTTCCTAGATGCCTGAGAGGACAGGACATGTACACTGGACCACAATTCTCAATAAAACCCGCCCCCCCCAGGCCCGAACAAAGACGAGACTCATACTCCTTTCCTTTTTGAGTCTCCCAGATCCTCCGAATATATCTGCTCTCTCTCTATCTCCAGTAAACTCTGCTCTCACTTCCTGTGGGCTCATGTTTGATTTCCATCCCACGAGAAGCCAAGGACCCTCTTGGCTGGTCCTGTGAGACCCTCTCTGGGTCCATGGACATGGCCTGTCAGCATCATAATCAGACATACACATTTGTTTGATGTTTAATTATGGATTACCAGTTTTAAGAAACAGAATACCAGATGATATACATGATACGAGATCTACTACTTAAAGTGCAAATAAAAGGGACTGAAAATTAATATGGTGGTATTATAGGTGGATCTCGTTTTTTATCCTGTAGACATTTCTTGGCTATGCTAACTTTTCAACTGAAAACACATGCCATTGTATAAGGAAGAACATTAAAGCAGAACAGATATATAAATAAAAGTAATCCAGGAAAGATGTAAGGACCAATTACCCTCCCTCTAATTCTCGGAGTAGAGCATACTAGCTATCCTGAATTTTCTTCTCTCTGAAAACAACTAAAAATGAGAAAGCAATAGAATATAAACACTCACATGTGCCACAACTGGGGTGGGTGTGGGGAAGGCGGGGGTGGGGACTGGCTCCGGCTGGGTCACTATTTCAGCTGGAACCGCTCCATCTTCATCCTCAGGGGGCTTCTGATGGGCGCAACGACCAATGTCCGCATTTTTGAAGGATACAGGCTGTGCAAAGTCCATGGGGCTAGTGGAAAGGAATTAAAATCAAGTACTTTTTATTATTTTTCATTGTCTCACTGCCTTACAATTCTCCCTCCCCCTTCGAAAGGCCATCGGTGCAGTTTTTAAAAATCTAATGAGAAGCTCTTCATTGTTTCCTCTCTGCCCACCTGCCTTGGTTTTAGATAGAGTGTAGAGTGATCCTCATACCAAAAAAAAAAAAAAGGTAGCCAGCAGATGTACTTACACAGAGTTTATAACAAGGTTCCACACACAGCCTTCAAAAGGAGGAATATTTCTGAGGGGTGGAGGCTGAAATTCAGGTGGAGCACCCCCAGCGAAAAGCTTTTTAACTTGGATTGCCTGTTCTACTGTCAGGTTTTGCGTATGCCTCCTCTCTTCATCGACTTGAACAGTAAAGGTGCTGATAAAACAGTGACAATAAGCAGTGTTAAGCACCTAACATCCAGTATAGTTGGAAAATCAAACTCTTTTCCTGCTACCCCTCTCCCCTTCCTCCAGGAGCTTTTCAGGGAGCCAACATTTGATAGTGAGGAATTCTACACCAAGGTAACCATACTGCCTCTCAGGATCTTGTCCCTCTGCCTCCCTCGTTAGCTCTCCCTGAGAGCTGACTGAAAGGCGCAATGGTGGGGCTGCAAGCCTAGCCTTTGGTGCTGTTGACAAGAGAGGCCCGACACGGAGGCCTGTAGAGTTGAGGCTTCCGTACAGTGTGCTTATGTCTAATCGCATGAGGCTCAGTGGGTTTAGCACAGCGTGGGGCACATGCTGTTCTGTTCTTTATTTCTTGGTTTGTGCTAGCGATTATCTTCTTGCTGGGGGGCAAACTCTGCTCCTGAGAGTTTGGATTGCAGGACTCGACAGAGAACACTTACAGGGCATTTTATAAAGAACATAGCTGCTAGCTTTTAAAATTTTTTTTTAAGATTTATTTATTTGAGAATGAGAAAGAGAGAGAGAGGGAGAGCACGCCAGAGCACAGGAGCAAGGGGAGGGGCAGAGGGAGAGGGAGAAGCAGACTCCCTGCTGAGCAGGGAGACGGGGCAGGGCTGATCCCAGGACCCTGGGATCAAGACCTGAACTGAAGGCAGACTTAACCCACTGAGCCACCCAGGCGCCCCAGCTGCTAGCTTTTGAATAGAAGAAGCAGGCAAGAACATCATGCTAATTGTTCCTTGCAATGATTTTCCTTAGTGACTGTTTCATTAATTTCCCTAATTTGCTTATGAGAGAGAACTCACACACTATTAATTGAGAACCTCATGCTACTTATTCACAACAATCCTTGGATCCTGGGGCAAAGAATCAAAGGAGACAAAGAGTTCTGATGACAAAAATGACCAAAGGCATTTTTTTCTTTTGTTCTAGAAGCAGGTTTTGAATTTCAGTCCCAAACAGGGAGCATGAGGCTATTAGTATTAGTCACTAGCCTGAGGATCACGAATGAATTACTAAAAACTTACTACATATCTGGGGAGAAAACCAAAGTACTTAGATGGAAAACTCAGTCCTAAAATGTCATCTTACTTGATTTTATAAAGAATAAAAACCACATGTGGAACTAGAAATAATAAACCAGGGCAAAGAGACTCTGAAATGGTCCTGAGCAACTGGTCCACTTTGAGAGAGTTCAGATGTAAGAGAATGGAAAAATAAAAAAAAATGGATTTCATTGGTGCTCAAAATGTCATTGGTTCAAGGGGTGGAAAGGGAGCAGGTTGGATTTATTTTCAAAGGAAACATGGGGGGAAATGACATATTGGTTTTTTACCAGACTCTGGAAGAGTGTGTTGGCAAAAATCAGGAGGTTCAACATTATTGCTAAGAATGCTGGTGGTTTTATGAGACTTTCAGAAAAACACTGCTGGGCATGTGTGACTCACTGAGAAGTCTCCCCACCCCCCCCACACCTCTTTTTTTTTTTCTTTTCCTAAAAGCAACCTCTTACTAACATGACATAGCAATGTTCCTAAGAGTTTTAATGAGGGGTTTAAGCCACTATTAAAGATTGTCCAAGGAGAGCAAATCTCTGCTCTTGGTTAGAGTTTCAGAGAGCCAGAGGCCCTCATGTTTCTGATGTAGACTGTCTGATCTGGTTCTGTCCCAAGGACCATTATAGTGGTCCTTTCCTACTAGATCACAGGGTGGAGATAGAGAATGAGCATGAGCTTTCAGAAGGAACAGACTGGAATTAAGTATTAGTGCAGAAGCTTACTAACTGTGTGACCTGGGCCAGTTATTTAATCTTGCTCAGTCTCACTTCATTCATTTATAAAATGAGGATAAAAATACCTACTTTAAGCCATGGAAAACATTAATTAAGGGATTGCACTGAAGCTGTATTACTTAATAAGGGAATCGCTAGAAGACTATAGCTAAATCCTGCTTATATTTTACATTCTAGGAGCACCAAACTAGATCACGTATTTAGTTCTTTTGTAAAGAGGAACATTACCAGTATGTCCATTATGATTCTGGTGTATTTCCTCTTTTTTAAGTAATTCTTTACTGAGGACCTATTATATGCAAAAAGCACTATAATAAACATTACTATTAGTATTATGACAGGTTAGCTGTATTTTCTTACAAGTTCAACAGTTGATTCTTAGAGTTTCATAATTAAACATTTCATTACTAATATTCTGTTTCTTGTTTGTTTGGGATATTAGTCTAACCTTTTGCTTTCAAACGACTGCCAAATGGGTTGTATATGTACAAGAAGATATTAAGAGAAGTAGGTGCCCTGACATTTGTAATTTACATGAAGGACAACATCTGCAATTTTATTTTATTTATTTTTTAAACAGATTTATTTATTTGAGAGAGAGAGAGAGCATGCACACATGAGTCCCATCACACTTGCAATAAAGGCGGGGGGGTGTGTGGAGAAGAGCAGAGGGAGAGGGAAAGGGAAAGAGAGAATCCCAAGCAGACTTGCCGCTGAGCATGGAGTCCAACACAGGGCTCCATCTCATGACCTTGAGATCATGACCTGAGCTAAAATCGGATGCTTAACCGACTGAGTCACCCAGGGGCCCCTGCAATTTTATTTTGATTGAACATATTTTGGATGGTAAGAAATATTTGGGTTGCAGTGTCCAAATCATGATCCCCATTCTGGAAATCCCAGATTATTCCTGAAATATTTGATCTAACTTTGTGGCCTTCAGTCTAATTCTGTACCTGTATGAAGAATGCTCTCACAGTGGAGAAAACTACTTGCCTATGCATCTATTCCAGACTCTTAGAGTTGAATGCTTTTGTCCAGTCAGAACAACTGGTCCCTTAGGTGGAGTCCAGGAAAAGGGTCAGAGGGCAAAACAGTTAAAAAAAGGCAGGGATCACTGGACCACTGGACCACAGAATTAGACACCAAAGTGATTTAAGTGAGATTTTTGCAGAGGAAGGGGTAGAAAAGGAGAGAGGTTGAGGGAGGAAGGGTAAAGAGAGGCAGAGGGGGAGAGAACAGGGCAAGAACAATCTTGAAAAATTTGCCTCTCAATTTGATAAAAATCCAATAATTTTGTAAGGTGGTATTAAAATTACCATCTCATCCAGGGCTTTAGGAAAAGAAGCGATAATTGACATTTATGATCTGAATAGTTTTGGGAGAAAGCAAATATTTCCAAATTAACAAGAGTATCATAATCAACATGAAATAATACAATCTTTGAGGTCACACAAAAGGGTAAGAAAAAATAGTTGGAAAGCGCAGTTGGAGGTGTTAAAAGTGTCCAGTATTTGACATAGAGTGTGCCATAGAATAGGTACGAAGCATTAAAAAATGTTTCTAGGTAAAGTTCTTAGGGTCATTAGCGATCACTGGTTAATCAGTTAATTGAAGCACTTGCTGAAAGGATAGGTGATTATTGTGTTTTGACCTTAGAGTGCTGAATGAGACATGATGGTAGCAAATGTGTTCTTGCTTTGCCACAGAGTTCAGTGACTACCCACTAATATGTCCAATACATTATCCTTTAATTAACAGCGAATGGCAAAACTGTTTGTTTATATGGCCAATTAACTGAATGACCAGTTTTCAGTGATATACTATACACTGAACTTAATCAAATAAGGTAGATTAATGGCCAACAGCTGTGAAGTTGGCATAATAAAATGCCCTTCCTGAAGAGACACCTGTTAAAAGGACACCTTAGCGCAACATCATAATGCACTGGGGAACGTCAGAATCCTTTCTCTACAAAATAACATATTCCGGATGATTTTTTTTTTTTTTGTCAACTGTATTTCTCAAATCTGCACTTGTTTATTGAAATTCTCTAAATTTTAAAGACGTTAAAAAGTCCTTCCGACAATGAGAAGGATTAACGTTTGACAAAGAACCTGAAATCTAGTCTGGGAGATATGTAAAACAATATTTTAGAGTTGTCTGTAAGATTCAAATGAGAAAATTCAGTTTGCAATCTTCCTCAGAGACCATGACCACAGTATCTGGCTATTAGGTTAGAAAAAGTTCTTAGTTTGTCCAAATATCGATCCCTCATTTGTCTTAATCATGGTTTCTAAACATCTAACTTAGTAGATATTCTGCAAGAATGTTTAGTATCAATTCAGCCCACAACCTAATGCTCTATATAATAAAAAAAAATAATAAGCCAAGGAAAGCTTTATCATTTACTTGGAAGATAAAACATTCTTGCTACTTATCTAAACTGTTTTACACACAAGAGGATAATTAGAAAATATAGGTCTGTATAGAATAGCATCTGCTCACTTGAACTATTGCTACACATGCCTACTGTTGTTTTTTTTTTTTAATAACCTCTGTGTCTTGAGGTTTCCTCACATTTCATTTCCAGGTCTTTTCTATGTCTTCAGTCTAATTAAATGGCTTGCTGGCTTGGAGGTCTGAAGTCTCGGGGCTTCTGGTTTCCTTTTCTCTAATTGTCCTTCTAAACGAATTACCTGAGTTGTCATACAACATTTTTTTTTTTTATTTTTTTTTTAAAGATTTTATTTATTTATTTGAGACAGAGAGAATGAGAGA